CCCCCCGCCCCAAGGCACTTTTTCAGGTGTTGTTTCATTTCACTTTCACTTTCCATGTAATAATTTATTTACTCCGCCAGCACCTCTCTGGGGTACATTACAGGGTACATCCTAGAATCTCCCTCATTTTTAAAAAATGAAAGAACTGAGGCTGATGGAAGTTACACGGTTTCTGGAGGCCACGGTGCAGGGGGGTTCAGGGTCTTGCTGGTTCCCAAGTGCAGGCTCTCGGGCACCAGGCTGTGATCTCCCTCCACAGCTTCTCTCACCGGTTCCTTCTGAACCTATAGAGTATTTCCAGTTTTTGCCTTACTCTTGATGCATAAACGTCTTTATTTAAAATTACGTCCTCAGATAAGATTCAGAGACCAGAAATCCCTGAGCCAGAGGGCATGCTGGTGTTTCAAGTCTCACACATGTCACCAGACTTGTTTCCAAAAAGGGCTGTAAGCAGTTGACTCCCCAGTAGCTCCATTCTGGTGCATTTTTCCACTCTTGCATTATTTCATCTCATTTAGTCATTGCTAATTCAGCAGGTAGAAAGTATATCTCTTTATATTTTGTCTGTCTTTGATTATTGGGGAAACTGAATTTTTTTTCAAAAATTTACTCTCTATATGTATTTACACACTTGTCCATTAATGCTCTTTGCTCATCTTTTAGAACCTTAGTGCTTTTTTGTTTTGGGGGGTTTTTTACTGATCTACCTTAATTACCCTTTAAACTGTCACTATGTCCTTGGGACACAGCCTCCCTGGGACAGTCTCCCTGTTCTAATGTGAAGCTCTCAGGCCATTCTAGTCACCAACCCAAAAATGCTCCCTCTCACACTGGCTCAAACTTAACCCAGTCCCCAAATGGATAACCATTATCTGGGGCTCATTTAAAGTCCTAACATTAAGTAGGGCCTACAGCCAAGCTCTGTGCAAGAACTGTGACATCCCCTCCTCCAGCCCTTATAGCTGAAGAGCAGGACACAGGTGACACTGTCATGGATGCAGAGTGAACCGAGCACCGCCCACTGCCCACTATCGGCACCACTGCTGTGTCCTCTCGGACTGCGCCTTCCTCCTGCCGATGGAAGGCTTCAAAGGCTTCTGAAGCAGGGCTTCTCTGGCCCAGATGCGGGGTCGACTTTAGCCTGGCTCAGACCATTCCATGGGGGGGTGAGGAGCGGGTGAGGGGAGGGATGGGAAGTCCCAATGGACCCTGGGCCCAGAGCTTCCGGAACAAAACAAAAAAAGATACACGCGGGGTTTCTAATTACTGTGCATTGTTTGCAGATTAGCACTGAAATTGGATCAGGCTAATTACAGTAATTTATTTGACTGCAGAAGTGCTTCTGAATGACATCCCACTGTGATTTCTTCCCTCACTGGACAATGGCTGAATTAATGGGACTCTGGCTGGACTGGATGTACCGGCTGGGGAGGGCCAGCTGCCCTATGTGCTCGGAGATGGGGAGGGGCTGGCAGCTGGCTGAAGAAGGGCCCAAGCAGGGGAGAAGGGAGGTGTGACAGGGAGCCCTTTTGGGGACCTGCCACCAACACCCTGTGGCTTTGCTGTCCAGGGCCCGTGGACATCAACATTGTAGCCAAATGCAACGCCTGCCTGTCCAACCCCTGCAAGAACAACGGGACGTGTAGCCAGGATGCTGTGGAGCTCTACCGCTGCGCCTGCCCCTATGGCTACAAGGTAAGGCAGGAAGCCGCACCCCCACCATTTGCCACCCGAGGAGGGGCCCTGCGCCTCCCTGGGTGCCTGGGTGACTCCATTTCACAGGTGACCCCAGAGTGGCATTTGCCAGTAACACTCCTGTTCTGCTGGTGGGGCTGCCCAGTTTTATCATGCTCATGCCAGTCACCCAGGACCCCGCAGGATCTTGACAGTGACACTGAAATAAGGAGGAAAGTAGTGCTTCCTTTGTTAAACTGGGGAAAGTGAGGCTCAGAGAGACTTCCAAGTAGAGGCATCCGCTAAACCCACTCTCCTGGCTTCCCTCCCAATGGGATTTCCAGACCCTCCCCCACCTCCCCAACTCTGCCCTCAGGACACCCATCCCTGTGAGGACACAGGGATGGGGGATTAAAAGACCTATGGGTCACCAGCCAACCACACTGTTGACAGGCTCAGGACAGTCAGGGAGGGCATGGAGATCCCAGCTCTCCCGTCTGCCCCCCCACAGATCCCAGCAGATTCTCACCCAGCACCATCCACAACACGTTGTCCCGCCCCACATAGAGAATGGACCGTGTCCCAGGCTCTCTGCTGGGCATTTTACTCACCTTTTCTTTTTCAACTCTCCCAGCTAACCAATGAGGAAGAGCTCATTAATTCCCATTTTACAGATGCGGAAACTGGGCTTCATGTTGAAAGAGCTTCACTTGATGTCCCAAAGCTTGTAAGCAGTAGGGTTAGGACAGGACCCAGGGCTATGATTTCAGAGCCCTGATTGTCCCCTGGAAGGTTTCCTGGTTAGCTGGGCCCCTCAGGCTGCCTCCCTGGGGTCAGCAAAGCTGTGACTAACCCTGTTCCCCAGGCCCCTCCCAGATTCCAGCCTCCTCAGGTACCCATTCAAATGTACTGGACAAGCCAGGAGTTTCAAAACAGCCCCTTGGCATCTGACGCACACGCCTGGTGCAGGCTGCGTAGGGGGGAGCTGGCATCTTTGGCATCTCCTGGGGGGGGGGTTGGATGTACAGTGACAAGCTTGAGGGGTAGGCTCACTCCAGGGAACAGGGCTCCCTGGTGGTTTTCTCAGCTGCAGCTGTGCCTCCAGCAGACAGTGTCAGGGTGCCACCTACGGGCCTGAGAGAACAGTACCAACCGAGTCCCTTTGAATCCAGCCAGCCAGCCAGGCCTCCCCAAGCAACCACCCCCAGGACCTCAAACTCACTAGAGTCCCAAACTCATGCACTATACACACACACACAGAGGCACACACACACTCAACCCGCACATGTAGACAGCTATTGTAGGGAAAGCATAGAAATTAAGCAGGCTTACTCAGGAGGCCTGGATCCTCAAACTCCCCTATATTAATGCATGGAGAAAACTCTGGCTGTGGGATTACACAGAAGCCAGTGTGGATTCCAGCTCTGTTATTTACTTGCTGTGTGGCAATGGCCAGTGGGCTCACCTCAGCCTTCCCATCTGTACACTAGGACCTGCCTTGCAGGTTGACTGTGAGAATAAAATGTACAGTAACACATGCAATGCACCTGGGACAGCACCGGGCACCCAGTAAGCACTCGATTAGCTGGCATTGCTACCTTTCACCTTCAGCCTTGCATGCTGGTCCCTAATACCCTCAACAGGTAGTAGATTGTTGGTTTCACCAGGGATTCTCAGTCTCTGACACTGTGAACTGTCAAAGGCCATCAGCTGCTCTTTCAGACCTGTGCCATCTGCACTGATAACATCCCCAATTCCCTACACGTATAGCTATCTTCTTAAGCACTGACTATGGACCAGGCACTCAACCGGACCTCATGCATGGGTTCCCTCCTCCGATTTTTATAATCACTTCATGAGGTGGGTGGTATCGTATGAAAAGTAAGGCAAACCACTTCATATCCCGAGTCTTGCTTCCCTCTCTATAAAATCGGCCTGGGTCTGGAAGTGGCGGACCTGGATTTGAAGCCCAGGTTTCTCCCAACCACACTTGGATACACTGCAAAGCTGGCCCGGCCATTGGTGTCCCTGCAAACAGAGCACCTGCAGGGCAGCGCCACTCTTTGCACTTTGCTCACAAGATTCTGAGCATCTTGTAGATTTCAGATGAATTTGAACCAAGATTTTGACCTTTAGGAAGCTGCTGGGCCCAGGCAGGTCGGGGTACATACGTGATGATAACAGTGATAATGATGGTGAAGGTGATGGTGGAGACGGTGAAGACTATAAGAGTAACATTAACAAGCCCACATTTTTTTAGGTGCCTACTGTGCACTGAACTCTACTAAACATTATCTCCCGTGCTCATCAAAGCCCCAGGAGGCAGGTCCTAAAATGATCCTCATTTTACAATTGAGAAAACAGGATAGTCAGGAGGGGCTGGGATTCAAAGCTCAGAGCCGACTGATTCCAGAAACGACCCTCTCCACCACCACCTTCACTGCCCATTGGCCAGCACCGTGGCCGCCAGGGCTGAGGGGGAGGGTCCCTGGCCCTTGAGGCCCTGTCTGAATTCCCAGGACAGGGAAAATGGGGTGTGGGTTGGAAAGAAAACCAAGCAGGACGCCCTAGAGCCTGCTCCTACCTGACCACACCGGTGACCTTGAGCAGCTCCTGCTCTCCCCTCGCCAGGCTCCTCACCTATAAACCGCAGCAGGTTGAACCAAAGGGGTCCTTCCGTTGTGGGCTACGTCACAGCCCCTGGCCTGTGCTAGTGCCCTGCCTTCCTTTCTCCCGGGGCTGGAGCCCACCCACGCAGAGCGACCGAGGTGATTGTGGGTGAGACAACAATCACCAGACACCCACGAAGCCAAGCTCAACGTTCAGGCATTTATCTAGCTGTTTCCAGACACCTCCGTTTTCCCAGGGACTAGCTGGGTGACCTTGGGAAGCCACAATGTTACACACAAAAAAAAAAAGCAGCTCCTGTTACCCGACTACAATGCCAGGCTTTGTGAGCAGCCTAAGCTCATTATCTCTGTAAGGCTCTCAGTCATCCTCTTTCCATAGACGAGGCACCTGAGGCTCAGAAAAACAAAATAACCTCACCAGGCTCCCACACCTGGGGAGCCAGGCGCCAACCCAGAACCCAGCCTGCTGCTGCAGGAAAGGCTGTACCCGCCACCCCACTGTAACCGGTTCTCTGTCATTCCCACTGTCCCGGCTGTACTGGGAGTAATCACACCCACATGCAGGGCTCTTGGGAGGACTATAGGTGGCCGCCTGTGTACCAAGCCTGCCTCGATGCCAGGACTCAGCAGATGCTTCACAGAGGGTATGGTATTATTTTACCAGTATTCTATGGTTTGGGGAAATAAAATGCATATTTCGGCTGACGCTTTCTCAGCCAGGTAGCTTCATGCACATGTGTTCAGTGTCTCAGAACAGAGCTTCTCACACTCTCATGTGCACAAGAATCACCTGGGGAGCTTACTAAAGTGCAGGTTCTGGATTCATTAGACCTGGGATTTTTAACAAGCGCCCAGGATGCTACTGGTCCAAGGGCCATGCGTTGAGTAGCAAGGTCTCAGGGCAGCCTTCCTGGCCCCATCTCAGGAAGATGTTTCCAGTGGGGTAGTGGTTCCCACTCTCCTTTAGAGGAAGCCTTAAGCCCCAGCCATGTCCTTCACACACACACACACACACCCGTACTTGGGGGGGCGGGGGGCGGGGAGGGGACCAAGGAGCATCACAGAGCTGGTGGATTTGAGGAAAATGAGGCTGAAGAAAGTTGAATCGGGCTAATTAGCCAAGCACAGACAATGGTGGTTATTTCTCAAGGACAGTATGATAGAAATCCCCACCTCCAGGCTGAATTACCAAATTGCCAGGTGCTAGCACTGCTTCCGGGATTTCTGAGCTCAGCATGAGGGGCTGGAAGAGGCACCACTGACTCCACCCCCACCCCCCAGGGGAGGAGCTCACCAGGAGTCCCCGGTACTGGGAGGCCCCAGAGCAGGGGGGCCGACCACGCAAGGGCTAGGGAGGCCCACCTTGGCCTGCTCAAGGCTTTCCTGTCCTGCCCCATGGCCCATTTGTTCAACACAGACACACACACACACATCTCGGAACTAATCAGCACCGGAAAATTCTTTCAATCACCTACCTGCCACCCTGCCTCCGACCCCAACCCCCATCATCGTCATCAGAATGGCTCTTATTTAAGGAGTTGCCTCACAGGTAGGTCTCTAATCACCCGTCATTGCGTAGGGTGGGGATGATTATCACCTTTCCCAGGTGATCAATACAAGGCCCAGAGCTAGTCATTCCCTCCAGGCGCATAGCGGCCAGACTGCAACCTGCAGCCGCTCTGCCTGACCCCTGAACCCGTGTTTGAGGAGGAACGGGGGCCCAGCTCAGAGGGGCCCGGCTCAGAGGGGCCCGGCTCAGAGGGGCCCGGCTCAGAGGGGCCTGGCTCAGAGGGGCCCGGCTCGGAGGGGCCCGGCTCGGAGGGGCCCAGGGCTGGCTCTGGGCTGGATGTCTGGGCTCGGCTGCTGCGTGTCCCACTTACTGTGACCTCAGACATACTATGTCACTTCCCAAGTCGGCCTTCCCTGTGTAAAAATGGGGGTAATAACAGTCGTACCGACCCCATAAGGTTGCTGTGAACGTCATCGTGATCGTGAATATAAAACACAGCATGAGGCCTGGAATGGAAATGTGCTCACCAAACCTGATTAAAAACGAGGACTGCTGTCTCCATGCCACACTGGCTTCCCACATTGCTCTGGTTTAGGATAAACCCAAGTCCCACCCCTCCTGCATTCACCTCCCCTGCCAGAAACCCCTGGCTGACCCTTTAAATGTGCCAGGGCAGGAAGGGAAGCAGACAGCACTGGGCTGCTGGAGATGGGGCCTGGGGCTTAGGCTGCGGAGACCGTAGGAAGCAGGCAGTCTACCGCAGTCCTGTGCCCAGCTGGCAGCGGCACCCCAGGCAGCAGCCCACCCCATCATAGGCACTGGCAGAGCGGGAGAGGATTTTCTCAGGCAGGTGGCGAGCAGGTGGTGTGGCAGTGGGAGGGCTCCCATGATCACCCCACCTGGCATGGTCCCCACAACCCAGAAACCAATGCAGCAGGCACCTCCCCAGCCCCCATAGGTCCTCCAAGGGGCTATTTGCCAAGCCTGAGGTGCAGCACTGGTCCATGGGTCCCAAGGGAGAAGTTGGAGCCAGGGGCCCGAGCTGTGGGCTGCTCCCTGGGATGCTGGGGTCAGTGTCCACAGTATGGCTTAGCCCCCTCCTCATGCCTGGGTCCCCACTGCTCCTTCTGCTTGGCCTGCTCCGTCCCACCTACTACAAGCTTGGCTCCCTCTCAGCTCAGATGTCCCCTTCAGAGGAGTCTGCTTCACAGAATCCCCACCCCCACCCAAAACTCTGTGTCACAAGGGTTCTCAGCCTGGCCTAACATTAGAATCACCTGCAGAATTTGAGCATAAATACCAACACCTGGGCCTACGTCCAGGCCAATCGAAGATGAATCCCTGGGAGGTTGTCACTTAGCAGGGGCAAGGTCTGTTGGCCACGCCCTCCTGGCGGATTATATTTAAGCCTCAGTGAGGCTAATAATAATGTCACCTACTAGCATGTATAGAGTGCCTACTATGTGCTAGACATGTTACATAACGAGCAGTTTCTTTTTTTAATTTTTTTAATTTTTTATTTTTTTTAATTTATCTTTATTGTTGAGAGTGTTACAGGTGTCCCATTTTTTCCCAATTGACTCCCTCCACTTGGCTCCCACCCCCTCCCCAGGCCTTCACCCGGTTATTGACTGTGTCCATGGGTTATGCTTATATGCATATAACTTCTTTGGTTAATCTCTTCCCACCCTCCACCCTCCTTCCCTCTTTCCTCTGAAATATGATCGTCTGTTACATGCGTCAATGTCTCTGCATCTATTTAGTTGCAACTAAATAGATGGCCAGATTCGTTTGTTCATTANTGCATATAACTTCTTTGGTTAATCTCTTCCCACCCTCCACCCTCCTTCCCTCTTTCCTCTGAAATATGATCGTCTGTTACATGCGTCAGTGTCTCTGCATCTATTTAGTTGCAACTAAATAGATGGCCAGATTCGTTTGTTCATTAGCTTCTTCTTAAAGAAGACCCTTCAACATTTCCTGTAGTGCTGGTCTGGTGGTGATGAACTCCTTTAGCTTTTTCTTATCTGTGAAGCTCTTTATTTGACCTTCAATTCTAAATGATAGCTTTGCTGGGTAGAGCAATCTTGGTTGTAGTTCCATGTTTTTCATCACTTTGAATATTTCTTGCCACTCCCTTCTGTCCTGCAAAGTTTCTGTTGAGAAATCAGCTGACAGTTGTATGGAGGCTCCCTTGTAGGTAAGTAACTGCTTTTCTCTTGCTGCTTTTAAGATTCTCTCTTTGTCTTTAACCTTTGGCATTTTAATTATGATGTGTCTTGCTGTGGGCCTCTTTGGGTTCCTCTTGTTTGGGACCCTCTGTGCTTCCTGGACTTGTAAGTCTATTTCTTTCCCCAGGTAGGGGAAGTTTTCTGTAATTATTTTTTCAAATAGGTTTTCAATTTCTTGGTCTCTTTTTCCCCTTCTGGCACCCCAATATGATGAATGTTGGGCCTCTTGAGGTTGTCCCAGAGGCTCCTTATACTATCTTCATATTTCTGGATTCTTTTTTCTTTTTGCTCTTCTGGTTGGGTGTTTTTTGTTTCCTCATGTTCCAAATTGCTGATTTGATTCTCAGCATCCTCTACTCTACTGTTGATTCCCTGTAAATTATTCTTCATTTCAGTTCGTGTAGCCTTCATTTCAAATTGGTACTTTATTATGTTATCGATTTTCTCAGTTATTTCCCTAATAGTCTGCTTAAACATCCTTATAAACAAAATTCTGAACTCTGTATCTGTTAGCTTGCTTGGATCTATTTCATTTAGTTCCTCTTCTAGAGATTTCTTCTGTTCTTTCCTTTGTGACATGTTTCTTTGCCTCCACATTTTGGCTGCTTCCAGGTGTTTGTTTCTATGTATTAGGTAGAGCTGCTATGTCTCCTGGAATTTGTAGAGTGGCTTTGTGTAGTAGGTGTCCTGTAGGGTCCAGTGGCTCAGCCTCCCCAGTCACCTGAGCTGGGCCTTCTAGGTGCTCCCCTGTGTGGGCTGTGTGCACTGTCCTGTTGTAGTTGAGCCTTGGTTGCTGTTGGCGTCACTGGGAGGAATTGACCCCCAGGCCAATCAGCTGTGAGGACCAGCTGCAACTACAGCCAAAGAGCTGCTGTGCTGGAGACACCCCTATGGAGCAGGATTTACTTCAGTGGAGCTTTGGTGTTCACCAAGTGCGCCCCTTGAGTGTGTCACTCGTGGATGTGGTAGGGTTGTAATCCAGCGTGGTCGAGTCTGACCACCAGGTGCACTGTCTCTGGGGCCTCCCGGGAGGTGCAAAGTCAGCCTGTGCCAGTGCCTTGCCCAGGGCCACCCAGCATGAGCTACTCAGCAAACTGTAGTTGGCAGCTACTTGTGCTGGGCTTGGAGATGCCCAGGAGAGGCCCAGCTATGATCCAATGCAGCTGCCACTAGTGCCAGGCCTGGGCCACTTATCAAGCCGTATGGGGCCGGCTGCTGCTTGTTGAGAGATTTTAGGAAAGTCCTAAGCATGAGGCTCGAGAGGCCACTTGCACAGAAAAGCC